GACTATCCAAATACATATAAAAATCTCACACTTTATTTGGAGCCTACGTCTCAAAAAAAGATTTATTTTTTAATTTTTGGTAGGAAGAACTCAAAATATATAAAAACAGTTGTACCTATTTTAATAATTTTTAGTAGGAAGTTCTCATTGGTTGTCAGCAATGAGAAACAATAAAAATTAAAGCCAGTTCGGCTAAAAAACGTTTGGAAAACATCAAGTATTTAAATTATATGGGGCTTTACCGAAACATTTCTTACACAATGAGAATCGTAAACATTCGGCTGGGGAAAGAGAAATCCATTATTTTTTCGTCTAAAATGTGGATAAAATCGGAGAAATGATCGAAGTTGCCTGGCATGTTAGCAATCGTAACATCGCCCAGGAGCTAACTCGACCATAAAACAGTTTAAATCCATTTAAACAAAGCTGGATTCAAAAATAAACTCGATGGCTTCAAAAATAAGCTCGGTGCCACACCAACTAACAGAAAAAACGATGCATCGAATTTCCATCTGCGAAGCTTTGGCTAAACGGAATAAGATAGACCCATTTCTTAAACGGATGGTGACTGGAGATGAGAAATGGATCACATACGATAACTCTGTGCGAAAACGATCGTGGTCAAAGAGCGGTGAAGCACCTCAAACGGTGGCCAAACCAGGACTAACGGTCAGGAAAGTTCTGCTGTGCATTTGATGGAACTGGAAGAAGATTATTTATTATTAGTTGCTTCCATATGGCCAAACTCTAAATTCTGATCTCTACTGTCAAAAACATGACCTTTTGAAGATAGTAATTGACCAGAAATGACCATAATTGGCCAACAGGACAGTTGACGTGTTCCACCAGGGCAATGATGAACTTCTTTTTCCCCAACCTAATACTTAATGACAGCCAAGTTGATTAAAAAAGGTTCCCAAACTCCATTATATACCGATTTTTGGGTATTGTTATATGGGTGCCACTGTAAACAGTGGACCCATATTAATAATTTTTGGTAGGTAGATTTTCTACCTAATGATAACCTAAAAAATCCCATTACAGTCAATTCGAAAAACGTCAGCAAAAATACAGAAATGGGGAGAAATGGGGAGAAAATGTCCAGTCCCAAATGTGAAATAAAATGTTGACCGAACTCGCCTCTCAGCAAGTAATTTGTTATGCGTGATGCGTGGCATATGACCACTTATTGTTGAAACCAAATGTCATGCAAGTCAAGTCATCTCGCCCTGACAGATTTGGATACATGTCGAGCCTTGGGTATGATTTTTAACGTTGTAGCCTAATAATTAAATGTGGTTTTAGTCTTTTTTTTTCTTATATTGAGATATTTAAGGGTTTGAGTTTGATTTGTTTCCAATATATTGGTAAATGATATTACTTTTGTTTGTGGCTTTGTGCCCTTAAATATGTTAGAAGATTTGTTTTGTAAATTTTAGTAAAAAACTAAGATGTGTATCAAACCCTAAAATAAACTTAAACCGCTGTGAAAATAAACTGCTCAAATATGAATAGATCATTACTATAGCTGCTATAAATATTGTCCCTTCCCGGAACCCAATCTTAAGGCAAAATTTGTTCTTCAGATGTGTCATAATGATGTTCTGTAGTTTGATTGCTATTTATAATTATTATTATAATTTTTTTGTATTACAAATTCTTGTATAGAAATATCCACATACCATAGCTCTTTATTATGAAAAATTATTACGTTTTAATTTTTATCATTTCCTTAGTAGTCCATCCAAAATTTTGCTGACAAAAGTAAAATATTTTAATAAACATATTTTGCTATTAACACCAACAATTACAATTCTTAATATTCCAAATAATCGGATATATTTATTACCGGGTCTCAGTTCGAATTATCAGGGTATTTTGTAAATTAAATTAAACACCACCTCATGGTGAACTTGTTGTAAAGAATTTTTTTATTAATTAGTTTTTAGTTCCGTTTTAGTTTTGTCTTTATTCACTTTTTTTGTAATTAAAAACTGCTGATTATGGCCTATTATCAAATTCTTTCCGATTTATTGCGATTTATTTTAAATTTCCATATTTTGCTATTGCATTCTTTAATGCAGTATGTTTAGAATATTCTACAAGCTTTGGCTATTTAAGTTCTTGTTGGTAAATAAATAAATAAATTATTTATTGGTGTTGTTGTTGCTATTTTGTTCTCTGGTTTAATAAACACTGACAAGTGGTTTATTACAAAAAACATATAGCGAAACTGGCAGTTTTAGTTAGTTGCAGTTTTGGGTTCTCAGATAGCACTTCAAAATAAAAAAAATGTAATTGGAGTCTAGGGAAAAATCTGATACACAAAGTTTAGAGATTCTCATTAATGCTAGATGTTTTGTAAACAAATTTAAATTGTTCTTGTTTATATTTTTGCCTAAGTCCTTGACAAATAAAATATTAATGCCACTCCTTGGTTTCAATACCAATGGACCACCAGCCCTTGAATTTTTTTATCTCAACAATTTTGAATCAATGACAAATTCATTAAATTCATCCTTTAGTCAAGGTCTTTTCCGGAATATTTATTTAATGGCACATTGGCAATTATGGTAATGATGTGTGGTACTAAAAACTTTGTACTCCGAGTTGTTTTTCTTTTCTTTTCTGTGCTGTGTTTTGTTCATTCCTTGCTGGCATGACACCGCCAGGAAGAGGAAAACGAACACACCTTAATATTTGCATTGTATCATCAACGTGCAATTGTTGCCAGGAATTCAATATCGAAGACAGCAATTAACATTCCTGTCAATTGTATATATGGAAAGCCACAAGGAAAGTGGCAAATGTGCGGCGCCCTCTAGGCCACATACCAAATAATAACCACCAATGGAAGAGGATAACAAAATGTCACCTCATTTAAGCCTCATCACAGGTTGTGTAGGTGGCCGGGACGGAGAAAGTGAGAGTCGCTGGGTAAAGAGTAAAACATGAACTGTTTAAATATTTTGCACGCCATAGTTGGGTGCTGTTATGTGCAAAACACTTGTTGCTATCTGACACACTGTGTGTGCGTGTTCGTGTCAGAGTGTGTGACAGACATACAGACAGGTGAACTAAAATTCAGGATAAAAACTATAACATATTTCCCGCGTCCTTTGTGTTTTGATATGATGCCTTGAAATATTTAAGAAAATAGTAGTAATTTGAAAATTCAAAAGATGATTTTTTGGAAAATATTTTTAAATTCTTATATAAGGTTTTAGGAGAAAAAAAATTGCTGTTCGAATTTAATTTAAAAGGTGAATAAAAGTGGGAGTCTTATACGTGATCCATTCAATGATCTTTTCGTAGGTCTCTTCAGATTTAGAACCCGACATTTTTGTAATACGACATATCTTGACATTTCGAACGAATAAGTGCCGTGGCAAGGAAAAATTATGTGCGGCAACTTCCTCTGGAGTGTCGAGACCTGTAACCAACATATCTTGAACCATGCCAGTTTGAAAACCCCGTATTAGATAGAGCTTCTGCAAAAAGGGACCAGTTTTAACAATACTTTTCGAAGTTGCCAAAATCCGATTTATCGAGACCATATTATTTTGATTTTTATGTCTCCACTATAGTATAAAAAAAAACATTTGCAATCCTGTGTGATAAATATGTTCAATCGTTACTTCTATTTCCAAAACTACCTCACATATCTCAACACTACTTTTGTAATACTTATTTTCAAAAATTTTCCACATTCCAACAGTAATCTTAATTTTAAATTTTTACTATTCCAGCCTTAAAACCAAATTTTATCAAATTTAGTACCTTTAGTACCAATAAGTATAAATTCCCACACCCCCAATTCTAAACTCCAACAATAATCAAATATACGAATTTCAATGTTCCAACTTTGTCGGTTCACCTAAATCCAAATTTAGTACACATAACTACGAAGGATTCCAACTTCATCTATTTCTCCAAATTCAAATTGCACCTAATTTAGTACAGTTTAGTACTTTTCGTATACATGAGAACACGCTTTAAAAACCACCTCCTTATATCGACCCTACATCTCAACCTTAATTCGCATTCCAATTTTCAAGTTTTTAGCACTATCCATTCACATGCTACGAAATTGTACCAAAATTTAGGACATTTTAGTACTTTTCGGATGTTCTACTTATAGTTCGATAGTTCTAAACTCCAACAGCAGCCCTCATTTCAAATTTAAGAGTTCTAGCTCTACCGGTTCGCCAAATACAAATGGTACCACATTTAGTACTTTTCTTGCCGTTCTAGTACGAATTTCCAAAAATCCAGCCTTATCTGATACCTTTGGACCAAATGTGACCCTCACCTCAAAGTTCAAGATTCTAGCTTCATCCGATTCGTGTGGGCGTTGATGAATCGCTAAGTCAGCCAATCACTTTAGAACAGAATAGTAGTCGACCTCTAACTTTCGACATTTTGAGGATTTTGACCATCAACAATCAGTCGGTTCTGAATGAAATGTGGATAAAATGTTTATCAGTCCTGAAATTTTTGTATTTATATGAAAAACTTGACCTCAATAAAGAACTTTACACGCTCAGACCGTCATCTGCATTTTGTGTCACAGTTTTAACAATATTAGCTCATGTTTTTGGTATAGCCCCCAATTTCGGTATTTAGAGGATTTCTGACATGTTTTTTTATTCAAGCGAGGTGGCTCCGATTGGATTTTTTATGTTCTCATTATGTGGGAAATCTTCCTATAAAATATTAGAAATATTGGTCGACCTTTGTGTACTGGCAGCAATTTACCATGACATACATTTAAAAGTCCCCATCGATTTCAGGTATTTTGAATATCTACTTATATTCGAGTGTATAAGAGGTTTTACTCGTCAAATACAAAATGCCTTCCCCAGCAGAGCATTTTTTTCGTTTTTATTTCAATAACATTTTATATCGGATTGAAAATTAAATTTATATAATCCACATTTTTTATTTGGAATTCATTCAATACAATTTTCTTATGGTTCGTTTTCTTTATCCTTTTGCAGGTATCGTCAGACACGTTTTAGTTCTCGACGCATACGAAAACGCGTGATATTCAAACATGGTGACTGTAATGTGGTACAAGGTAATGTTGCCAAACGGAGACGAAGATATTTGCAGGTAAGTGAAAAACAACAACATCAAACACCCATCCAGTGGTAACAAAAAAAAAAAAAAAAAAAACAATTTTATCAAATAGGATTAAAAAACATAACAGTATGAAGTGTAGGTACAATGTTTCTAAGATACCCCGATTATTATTAGGGAATTTCAAGTGTATTTAGTTGGGCATGATTGTTTCATCATTAAGGGGAATTACATGTTGATGCCTCTACTTTGCAATTGATAAACCCTTCATGGAATAAAAGAATTTGTGTGGGAATATTTTCAAGTGGGGTTATTTAAATACCCCATTACAAATATTCACAAGCGTTCAAACTAATATTGCCATTAGGCCAATGTAAATGTTCTATTTGTTTTTTCTAACGACAAATCCAATTGAAAGTAACTATTTAAAATATAACTACAACTATAATATTTCGATAATTCAGTTTTAAAATGTTTCCAACGAATATTTAAAATAAATTTTATTTCTGGAAATAGATTTTCTGTTTAATGGACATTTATGTATGTTTGTATAAAGCTGTGGGAGATTTTTTCCAGACTTCCTAGTAATTCCCCTTCTTCTTTGAATTTTCCAATAATCCTGTTAAACAACTTGAGACTTTATTTGTAAAGGAATTATGTAGGAGTTACCTAATGAATTCCTAATATTGTATGGAAATTTCTTAAATATATACAAACATACATACTACCCACATACAGGGTAGTTTTTTTCTTGGAAGCTATTTAATATGTGATAAAGATGTAATACAGGTTGAAAATATGTGCTTAAGGGTGAAGGTGAAATAAATGTCTATTATAAATATGTACACAATATAATTTTTACTATACTATTTATGGAAGCATATATGCGCGTATAATTGGTTTTATCGTTGCCTATTAGTTTTTGATCAAACCTGAATAATACAAGAATGTCTGATGTTTTTAGAAGTCCTTATGTAGGTCGTATGTCTATAGAAGTCTTGTTAGAGATATTTTTTCTATATAACACCTGATGGAAGACGTTTGTCTATAGAAGACCTGCAGGAGGTCATTAATCTATAGATGGCTTTAAGAAGATATTTCGTTTATAAAGGATCTGAAAGAGGTATTTTTTATAAAATACATTAAAGAAGGTATTTTGTCTATTGAAAACTTGAAGGGTTATTTTTTCTGTAGAAGTCATGTAAAGGGTCGTAGTCCTGGGGGGTCGAAAATTGCTACTGGGAATGAAAGATATTTGCGAGGATATGAAAACCCCAGAAGGAAAAATTCGCTGTAGGTCAAACCTCGGAGATATGGCTGGATCATTTTTTTGCTGGCGACCCTATTATATATATGTAGAGATAGCTTCATATCTTGATTTATAATTGTTGTGTGTATTTTTTGTAGAACATTTTGCCTTGTAGATCGGTTCCTTTTCTTCCTTAATTTAATGAGCCGGACTCGAATATAACAAGATGCCATGTTTCATCCGCGCAACTTACTTTCTTAGCTGGCTTGTGACAGAAAATTAGTTCCATAGGCCGAGCTTAAAACGATTTCCAGACACGTCGGTCTTGTGCGCAGCTCTTCCAGTTTGAGAACCCATGCTCCGAAATGTTGCCTTTCACTTAATGTTTCCATCGAATTCGTGGCTTTCTCCTTCTGCGTGAACCATCAGTTGACTAGCTTTTATATGCCTTTTGAGCTGGGACATCCTCATCCATTTTAAGAACATGACCTAGCCAACATAGTTGCTGCAGCTCCATACGTCTGACTATGTTCAATAGATGGTACAATTCATGTTTCATCCGGCGGCGATATTCACCGTCGATTCAGATCGGGCCATAGATCTTTCGGAGTGCTGCCTCATTTGCTTGCGCAAGTACTCATGCTTCATACCCATACAACAGCACGGGTAGTATCAGCGTCTTGTATAGTGTGAGTTTGGTCTGTCGAAAGGTGACCTTGTTATTTTAGAATTGCTTACTCAGACCATAGTAGCATATGTTGGTCAACACTATTCTGTTCCGGATTCGAAAGCTGATGTTGTTAGTTTTGTTTATGGTGGTACCGAGGTATATAAAATCGTTCACTACCTCGAAGCTGTAGTTTTCAAGTTCCGAGTCTACTGGACGTCTTGGACAGACTTCTTCTCAATTCGTTCAAAGGTGGCTGTTACCGCTCGCAATGTTCGACCCATTATGTCGATGTCGTCGGCGAGTAACATATGCTGTTTGGTGTACAGGGTGCCATTTCTGTTCACATTTGCATCTCGTATGACCTTTTCCAGCAAGATGTTCAAAAAGGTCACACGACAAACTCTAACATTGTAGGAATCCTCGTTCCGACTATAACTGTTGACCTTACGCCTTTTTAAGTTATCCTGTGTATTAATTTTGCAGAAATGCCGAAAGCACACATAGATTTAAACAGCTCTGAGCGGATTGGGCTGTCCAGTTCAATAATTTAGAAAACAGATTTTTCTTCCTCGATATTTGTTTTTTTTTAATGTTTTTATATATGTTTTTAGTAAATAATACGAACGAGTCCGACAATTCTTCATAATTAAGATTTTATACTGAATGGAATGCTTTAATGGCCTCCTGACTTTCAGAACAAATCGCAAGATGCCAATAACAAATTCTTTGGCAGGTTAGGGTGTTTTTATACCCTCAACTAAATGGTTGAGTATATATTAAATTTGTCATTCCTTTTGCAACACCTCGAAATAATTGTGTTAGGTCCCAAAACCTATACATTCTTGATCAGAATAAAAAATTTCGTAGATTTAGCCATGTCCTTGTGTCCGTGGATATTAAGATAGACATCACAATAATAATTTAGCATTCGGGTTTCTTAGAGCATGAAAAAGCTCTTTGAATGAATTTTCGATGTTTTTATATAGGCCTCATTTAAAGTTCCAGCTACATTTTAAGTATTTTTTTAAGTTTTATTCGCATTTTCCCACCGAATTAAGGGATAAAAAATCCGTATTTAGAACAATTTGCCCTCATGCGTTTCTTTTGGATGTTGCCCCTCCATGCTCTTCAGAATCTAGCCCATGTTGGCCCATTATACCCTATCTCTCTCTCTCTTTTAAAACGTAATTCAGAAAATCGACTTTTTTATTTTGTGGCCTGAAGCCATTCCCGCGCTTGAACAGCGTCGAACTGTCTGCGACAGTGATCGCAGACGTTGAACTACAAAACAGTTCGTAAATGTAATCAGTAAATAATATTTGACCTGCTTTAATCGATATGTCAATATTTTTCCATTCACATTTAAATTTGATAATTTTTCGGACGTAAATCTCATTCCCCTCCCTCTGTTCTCTTGAATTTTACAGAATGTTGTAATTGTTGTAGGAGCTTACATCGAACTCGAATAACCTAGATATTTCATAACTTTAAATATAATAACCTAAATGTATATTAGGTCAAACAAATTATTTTATTAGTTTAATTTTGATACAAAAATTCGTTATTATTGAAATTTAAGAATAAAAAAATGTTTTTGTCTTTGAATTGCAACTGCAATTTTTTCCATAAGCCCATGAAAGTCTATGGACTATTAAAGTAATACCTTGAAATTTTTTTATTTAGAGTTTTATTGTAATTTGTCAACAATTTTTGTAATCCGTTTTTTTCTGATTTTTCTTTGCAGGACATCTTCACCACCCTTGTCGATGCACAATGGCGATGGACGCTACTTGTCTTCGCCTGTAGCTTTCTCATATCATGGGCCTTTTTCGGTCTCATCTGGTGGACAATAGCCTATGCCCATGGCGATTTAGAATGGATTGATATGCGTGATAATCGTCCCGAACTCATACAAAATATGACACACACTATGTGTGTGACCGAAGTGCGTTCGTTCATATCAGCATTTTTGTATTCAATTGAAACCCAGCATACAATCGGTTATGGTAACCGGTTCGTAACCGAAGAATGCCCGGAGGCGATATTTACCATATGCCTCCAGTGTATAACGGGTGTATTTATCCAAGCATTTATGGTGGGCATTGTTTTTGCCAAGTTGTCGCGACCAAAGAAGAGAGCCCAGACGCTGTTGTTCTCTCGCAATGCTGTGATATGTCATCGTGATGGTGTGCCGTGTTTAATGTTTCGTGTGGGTGATATGCGCAAATCGCACATTATTGAGGCACACGTAAGGGCGCAGCTCATCAGAAAGAAGGTGAGTAGTACAGGATGAAGAAGAAGACGACAAGAAAAAAAAACAATATGCCGGCAATTGAAACGATGGGGAAAGAAATAATAGTATTATGCGGAAATTTGTTTGTCGGTATGAGTTTTTAGAAAAGTAATATGATATTGAATTAGTCATCATTGCTGACGAATTTATGAGTTTAAAGTATGTAAATGTGTATATTTGTTTGTCCAGTGGAATGCCAGTGGGAATAGAAGTAGGGGAGATAAAGATAGAAATTATTGCAATTCAAACTTTACCGGTAGCAATTTTAAGTATACTTTAAGTTAAAAAATGTTAGAGGACAATCTAAATAAATGTCCTTGAATGTTAGAAATGGATATCAAGGATAGGAATATTTAAATTTGAGTTTAAATTCGGTTTATTTGGTAGAAATATATCATAGATTAAAGAGTTTAATATCATATATGCATTATTGAATAAATTAATTTCTGTGTCCTAAAATATTATAAATCATAAATGTTTGGACTACATGTAAACTTCGAACAAAAATTAAATAAAATGGAATAAATTTGCAAATTCTGGAGAGCGATTCGAAAATCCTGGATATACCGACAAACGGGAAAAATGGCGCCCAATTATTGTCTATCGCCATCTGGCGTTTTCATGGGAATGTTTCAATCCAGTTCGTTTAACTTTTGAGAAACATACGTAGCACATTAAAGTAATCACGTCGCAAAGTAATCCAATTGGTAGAAGCAAAGGACGGCATGTGCAAAATCCTCGCCTATTTGACCGACAAAAAAAGTGGAATGTAGAGGCTTTCAACAAGTAACGACGTCGTTAAGATAAGTCGGGCCCAACTTTTTAAAACTCTTCACTAAATGTGCGCATTTAAAATTTAATAAAGAGGTCGGGAACTTCATATGATAACAACATCATTGTAAATTTTCCGATTGTAGGTTGTTTCTTTCAATGAAAGAATCAACCAGAAATGAAATATCAGTCAATAAGGTAGGAAAACAGGACTAGGAACTTAAACGTACAAAAAATTAAGCAAGGCCTTTGTATGAGAAAAAATCGGTATTGAAACCCTCCATGAACAAACCGTAATGTCAAATTACATCCACTTTGGTGGGAAAATGCTGCCAAAAGTGGTGCGGTATCTCTATATGGAAGATATTCCAGGGCGTTTTTTGTAGGAACATTTCTAATTCAATGAGAATGTAAATATCAAATTGGAGTAAATTCGATTGAAAAACCATACATCATAGGTATGTTCAAAATTATAAACCTCTCTCTTCGTCAACAGACTAACGTACAGAGATCTAGTAGTATGTAAACAAATAAAACCCACCTTAAATATAGTCTTTAAATTAAATAACTGAAATTCCTAATTATTACCCATTTTTTTTACTTCTCCTTTTCAGGTAACAAAAGAAGGTGAAGTCCTGCCATTCTATCAGCAAGAATTAAAAGTGGGCGCCGATGGCGGTGAGGATCGTCTAATGTTTATTTGGCCCACAACAATTGTTCATAAAATCGATAGACATAGTCCATTGTATATGTTATCGGCATCCGATATGTTAAAAGAGCGCTTCGAGGTGGTTTGTATGTTGGGTAAGTTGCACAACAACACCGAGTACTGTACACAACCAGCTAATAACTAATTCACATTTCTAACAATAGAGGGCGTCATTGAATCAACTGGTATGACAACACAAGCTCGCAGCAGTTATTTACCCTCCGAAATTCTATGGGGTCATCGTTTTGTCAATGTTGTATCATTCCGCAAAGAAACCGGTGAATATGAAGTCGATTATACGCTCTTCAATAATACCTATGATGTGGATACACCGCTGTGCTCGTCCAAAGAGTTAGATGACCTCAAAGAGGAATATAGTAAAAATCACAAAGCCGGTTTGGGTGAGTAGTAATTTTCTTTGTGAATATTCCCAGAGACGAAGAGAATAATATATGTATTGTTGATATATCCCTTAGATCGCGCCTTATCTGCCGGCCTGCTGAAACACATTTCTTCCGTTGCCTCCGTGGATCACATGGATCCAGCCAGTGATGAGTCATTGGACTCTGGCCGCTTACATACACGCTCAAATTCCATACCAAATGGTGCATTGGCCGCCGAATTGGAACCACTAAATAATAATACGCCCTCATTTACTGTGGGCGGTTCATCGATTCTGCCATCGATAACCACAAATTTCCAAAGTATTAATGAAAAAATCAATTCCACAAATGGTTCGAGCAACAACAACAACATAAATCACAGTAGCAGCAATACCAGCCTAAAAGCAAAATCATCGCGACGTCTTTCCATAAAACAAGACCAGCTTCCCGTAGATTCATTATGCTGATATTTAAGAACTTTTCTAAATAATGTATATTAGATTTATTATATTTTTACCAAAACACACACACACAAAACAAACGTTTTTTTTCTGTCTGTCCTGTCTTTTTATTTTGTTGCTATTTTTTGAGAGTTTAGTTGAGATTTTAGTTTTGAATTGATGATTTTCGTAGAATTTAATGGGGAAACTTTTTGGTGGAAAATACAGTTTATTGCAAGGAAATGTTCAAATCAAGACAGATGTTAGGGTTTAATATTTAGTTGTATGGAGAGTCTATTTGTATACTCCTGAATTTTGCGATATTCCCTGCCTAAATTTAATGTCAAATAGTATAGAAGCCATATATCGAAAATTACTTCAGAAAATTATTGGAAAATTATTTCGTTCTCCCGAAATAGTATGATGTAGTCAAATACGGATTTTTTAAATCAAAGGCTACCTTAAATGGGATCTTTAAATATACATCTGAAGGAACTACAAGTTAAAAGTAAACTTTTTCTTTTCATTTTTTTTGAATGGCTATAAAATTGGAAAAACCGTCCATCTAGGGTCTTATTAATTAATCTGTAAGTAAAATATATTTAGAAAAAGCTTAAAGCGTGTCAAGATAGCTTTTCAAGCGATAAAAATATAGGCTCCATTTAAATTTCGCTACGCTTTCTTTAATGAGGATTATATTTTATCATTCCGGTCGTAACGCATCGTAATATTCTTATCCCTGAGCATGGTAAATAGTAAAGCCGATTAGTCATGTCCGTCTGTTGTACTAACTTCCGAATCGGCATACAAGGTAATATTAAAAATAATAAATATAGGTCCTCTTTTGGTATAGTCCCTATAAAACGTTACCCGCAAGTATCCGGTATTTGGGGATTTGGAAACATTTTTGAACAGAAATTTCTGTAATTTGATATTTTGGTTTATTAATGTATTTTTCCATTATATCGTAACTTTAACCCACATTTCCCAAAATCATACTGGCAATATACCTATGGCAAAGGGTATAAACAATTCGGCGCATCCGAACTTAAAGCCTTTCTTCCTTGTGGAGTGTGTATTCACTTTGTACTTTCATTTGTAAAGCCTCAAAATATTAACAAGAGACCCCTCAAAGTATATATTCTACATCGGAATAAGATTCCATGTGTATTTACGCATGTCCGTCTCTTTGTCTGTCAGTCTATTAAAATCACGATAGAGATCGCAATATTTATGATAGAGTTTTTGCATAGACATTTCTAGTACTCTTAGGATGTTTGTTATTGCAGATGGAATATATCGGTACACGTGTTGGACAAGTTTATCAACCAAATTGGCTGTAATTTGGTATTTTGGGTTCTCTTTGTATAACACATCTCCGTGCTAAAAATTATTAATATTGACCCATGATTCAGTGTAGCCCCCATATAATGGTATTCGGTATTTTGGGGATTTTGCTAATCATATTTTTCTTATGTCTTTTTCGGCATATAAAAGGTCCTATTATAAAATAAGTTTTCTCCTAGGTACCCCCATTCATTTTACATATTTTGTATGTCATCTTCATGGTGGAGGGTATAAAAAGATCGGCCGCGCCGAACTTAACATCGTTTTAATTTGTTTTCTTTCAACATGAACCATTGCTCGTGATATTTCCCTTAATACGACGACTACTTTATATGGTTTATCCTCGAACATGATTTACACACTTTTCCATTCGCTTGAAGCTATTGTCCAATAATTTTTCCACTCCGATTGATTGAAGATACACACGGCCGATTGCTGTTTTTTTCGAGCTCACATGCATGGACCTATAATTCGTTACTTTTGAACTTCTTTTGAAGCACTTCGATCGTAGTTTTGGAATACTTCTTTACACCAATCGACACAAGCCTTTTATTATGGGGTCCAATAAGATCAACCCTTATCTATGGGCAAGGCTTCGCAGTGTAGGAGAATGGTGCTTCATTGTCGTACATTTAATTTTATCGTTGGACTCTTGTCATGATTACTAGTGTTCACGTGTTAATTGTATTTGTGTAGAAAATCGTCCTACCAAAAATGATCAATATTGGCCCCCTTTATTGGTAAGCTTCCATATAACAATACCTCCGAAACTTCGGTGTTGAGGGGGCTTTGGACACCTTTTAATTAGAGATAACGCTTTTCAATTCGATAGTCATTTTTTTTAAAATTTGCAGGCCTTATTCTTTTGTTTTAGTTTACTTCATATCTAAATTGACAATTACAGTTCGATGATTAATAAGAGTAAACAAACGATTCTAATATTTCCCGATTTTTCATAAATTTAGTTTCCCAGATATACAATTCATAAAGACATATTTCGCTTTTAAATTGAAAGAAGATTCCTCTAAACAAATCTATAAAAAATGAATATATGTAAAAAAAAACTTCCACCAAAAATGTCCCCTTTCAACTCTTATATATACTATTTCCAATATATATTTTTATTATTTAATACACACAAATCGATATCCTGCAAAAGACATCTGCGATCTTCGGGGTCTTTTAAAGGCAAACAAAATGCCATACTTTATTTTATAATTAGGATATTAATAATAAGTTTTTTTTTGTAATACAATAAGGCTCTAAAAGAAAGAATTTATTAGGTTTGATATTAGATATGAGAAAATTTAAAATCCGAAGAAAATGAAACTAAATAAAATAATTTAAAAAATATCAATTATCAATGGGAACAAGAAAGAGACAAATTTAAATAAAAATAAGTTTAAAAAATTATGTTAATTTAATTTTAATACAATTTGTTTTAAAGATAAGAATGTGATAACAAATATTAAACAATAGCAACAAGAAATGGGATGTGTTTCAAAATGGTGGGATACTTTCAATATAAACGAAATACGAATGTATTTTTTATAAATACCATAAGAGCAAAGGCTCTCATTCAACCTTGAGAAACATATTCCTTAAGATTTTCATTTTAAAACCACAATTTTGCATTTTAACGATTAGCAGTCAACCATTTATTTAAAGTTTAATAAAAAATTGAAGATATAAGTGATTACCAAGCACAAAACTCCCCTTTTTCCAAAAATAAAATAAATATTATTTTAATATTTTCGTTTTTCAAATGTATATTCCTCTACTATTATCTTCCATATTATTTTGTCTTTTACATGTGTAACCATAAAGGAAAATATCACCAAGGGCCTTTCTTTTAAAAAAGGAGTTTTTAAATAATATTTAATCTACTTATAAAAAATAATAAAGAAAATTCTAATGTCCATTTTTCGAAATGTAATTGTTTCCCCTCTCTGGAAAAAAAAAACTAAAACCTATCATTGTATAAAGTAAAACATTGTACAAAATTTGTAAAAAAACTGTGTTTTTTTTTTATTCAGAAAAAAACTATATACAATTGTACATTCAACTTTTAAATGGACAATAAGAAATGGTAAAGAACAAAAATGTATTTTTTGAAAGAAAAACATTTTTTAATTTAAGCTATATCGCTACATAGCAAACTAACAAAAACAAAAAAAATAATGTAATATAATTTTAATGAAAAAATTTATAGATAAACAAGAAAAAGATAATATAAACCAAAACATATGAGACAGAAATGAGATAATATATTTTAAATAAAAACATACAACAATTGTATAAAAGACGTAAACTATGTGAAAAAACGATGTGTTTTATTTTTACATCCTACATTACACCTCGAAATAATCACCAGATCAGAATAAAATTCTAGGTCGATTTAGCCATGTCCGTCAGTGTGTTGATATCACGATAGAACTCGTAAAACTTTCGATAATGCTGTGAAATTGTACACATACAGTGTATTGACAACGGCAACAATTTACCATGGCATTGCACTTTTATAAAAATCCTGATATATATTGGATATTTTGAATGTGATCCTCATGGCAGTGCACTGCATGCCCCCAAAATGTATGCTGACATAACTATACCCTTAGCCTTATGGCTAATGAGGGTTTATACACTTTGATACGGCAAAAATGTGCCTTATCGAAATATTGATTTTAGACCCCATGCCTCTGCCTGTCTGATCGGATGGTGTGAACGATTACTCCCGAAGCAAGAAACCGGTTTCATCCAAACTTTGCATATCGTAGTATTGCTTCCAAACTTTGTTCAATGTCGAAGATAAGAAAAATGGTCTACACATTCTGGTAACTCCCCCGAATGGTTTCAAAGTGGCCGAATCGTTTCAAAGTGGGTCATAACAAAAACAAAATTCAAATTTTATTTAATAAATTTTAAAAAGCACCATTTCATGTAAATTATGCACCATAGACGCAAATTTGTGAAATCGTTAACATTAAATAATATTTATTTGTATGTTACAACAATTTGGTATCAATCATTTTGCTGGGTAAATATTATAACCGTAATGCTACTATTTACTATTGCATACTTTTAGGCCAAAATAAGTAAATGAGTGTGGAACGTGAAATGGGGTTATATTCTGAACAATGAACATTAATCTATTCAATAAAATATATCAACATAACATGCAATTGTGGCATGATATAGACAAGTCGACATATGGCGAATTTTTCCTCCTTGATTCTTAATATACTCGCCAAGTTCCTCCTGTAATCTTAATATACTTACCAAGGACATCCATCCCAATAAGAAATTTTCCATCTCCAGACAATGGGCTCGATTTTGTGTCACAGTGTATTCTGTAGGACTTTGAATAGACTGTAAAGTATTTTAATGTCCCAAATGTCTTTGAAGAATATACCTAAAATAACTAAGGGGACGGATGAAATCAGTGGACAGATTGGCATTGTTCCATGGTGGACAATGCCATACTTTCCGTAATAATAAATAGCTGTGTTTATAAAAACGACACACTTGGATTGACTATTTTGCAATAACATTATTACTAAAATTTATTACATTTATTTGCCATTCCATGCTATAAATACTAGTAATCTCAATCACCCCTATTCCGTATGTCGTCGTCGACACGAAACGACGTCGAAGAGAGTCGTCTTTTGCAAATTGGTATTCCCTATGTCGTTGTCGACATT